CCCAGTTACCCTACTCAGGGGTCAGAGACCCACTTGAGGAGGCAGTCTGTCCGTTCTCAGAACTCAAACTCCATGCTGGGAGAACCACTACTCACTTCAAAGCTGTCAGACAGGGATATTTAAATCTGCAGAAGTTTCTGCTGCCTTTTGTTTGACTATGCTCTGTCCTCAGAGGTGGAGTCTACAGAGGCAGGCAGGCCCCCTTGAGCTGCGGTGGACTCCACCCTCTTCGAGCGTCCTGGCCGCTTTGTTTACCTACTCAAGCTTCAGCAATGGCGGGCGCCCCTCCCCCAGCCTCGCTGCCGCCTTGCAGTTAGAACTCAGACTGCTGTGCTAGCAATGAGGGAGGCTCTGTGGGCATGGGACCCTCCGAGCCAGGCGCAGGATATAATCTTCTGGTGTGCTGTTTGCTAAGACCCTTGGAGAAGCATAGTATTAGGGTGGGAGTGACCCGATTTTCCAGGTTCTGTGTGTCACAATTTCCCTTGGCTAGGAAAGGGAATTCCCTTACCCCTTGTGCTTCCCGGGTGAGGTGATGCCTCGCCCTGCTTCGGCTCTCGCTCAGTAGGCTGCACCCACTGTCCTGCACCCACTGTCCGACAAGCCCCAGTGAGATGAATCTGGTACCTGTTGGAAATGCAGAAATCACCCACTTTCTGTGTCACTCACATTGGGAGCTGTAGCCTGGAGCTGTTCTTATTCAGCCATCTTGGAACCTGATCTGCCCTCCAGTCTTGATTAATTCAAATTAACATATCAATTCAACTCAACAATTATTTATTGATAGTACTTAGTCCCAATAAGTGCAAGTTTGTTAATGGCATTATTATTGCTTAATAATGTGTTTATTTCACTTTAATACAGAAGAATATTTTCTCTGGATATACAATTATATGTTGGCATATTAAAGATATCATCCCATAACATCTAACCTCCTTCTTACTGAGAATTCAGCCGTCAATCTAATGTTCTTTGGAATGTATTATGTCCTTTGTCCGCTGGTTGCTTTTAACATTTTATGATTTTCTTTGACTTTCTGAAATTTTACTATCATGCTGCATTTTTTGTTCTTCTTGCTTAGGGCTTTTTGGGCTTCTTGAATCTCTGGGCTGATGTTTTCCATCAGTACTGGAAAGTTCTCCATCATAATATTCATATAACTAAATACCATAATATATTGCAAAAAAATAAAGCTCTATACAAAACCATGAATAATTCCTAGAATACATACTGTATGATTCCATTTACATCAATATTTAAAATAGGTGGCCAGGCATGGTGTCTCATACCTGTAATCCCAGAACTTTGGGAGGCTGAGGTGGGTGGATCATCTGAGGTGAGGAATTTGAGACCAGCCTGGCTAACATGGCGAAACCTTGTCTCTACTAAAAATACAAAAATTAGCTGAGTGTGGTGACATGCACCTGTAAACCCAGCTACTGGTGGCATGGGTAGGGGGGTGCTGAGGCAGGAGAATTGCTTGAACCCGAGAGGTGGAGGTTGCAGTGAGCCAAGATCGTGCCACTGCATTCCAGCCTGGGCAACAGAGTGAGACTCCATCTCAAATATAAAAAATAATAAAACAGGCAAAAATATAGTGTGGTAAAACTACAACAGAAAACAATGGTTAGAATTCATAAAAGAAAGAACAGTGTTTCCCAGCAGATGAGGAAAAAACAATGTATTTAGAGAGGACCACTTGGGATGGGGAGTTTTCAGTGGTTTGAGCAATATTGAACTTTCTGACCTGGTTTGTAGTTACACAATTTGAATTAAAATAGTTCAAAATATTAATTTAAATCTTATGCCTTTTCTGGTATGTGAATTATATTTCACCAATATGAAAGTCCCACACCTATGCACATGTACACACACACAGAGGAAATAACAAGGGAGAAACTGCTTAGGCAAACTGGCCACAGATAGCCTCTCTAAACATAGAAAGAGCATTTTTATTGTCTCAGAAAGACACTTTGCAAGTATGTGGTAAGCTCACCAATACTGGCAGCTGCATGCCTCCTTGAGTGCACTGGCATTTTGAGAGGAAGTCTCTGGGAGTGGCCTTCATGTACTTGTGAATTTACCATGCAAAGTAGGGGAGGAGTCCCTAATTTCTCCTCCGCTGAGGTCACCTTTAAAAAGAATTCTCAGGGGGATAGCTACGTTTGTTGGTACAAAATATTAAAATCCAGGACTTTTATGTAATCTGCAAGCTACAATAGGAACGATAAATAAATTATTGGTTACTTCTTCACTCTTGAATCCCAGACCTGCCTCCCTGGTCACTTTAATGTCCAGGATATCTTCTCCAACCCTCAGTACAATAGAAAGAAATTATCTGGGGAACTGTCAACATATTGAGAGATTCTGAGATTCACAGAAATTCTTAAGAGATGGAAAGTTTCATGGTAGCAAAGAACGTAGACAGAAAGGCTCCCCAGAGCCATAATGGCTCCTAGAAACTCTTTCTTGGATCTGCCCATATTGTCTGAATATTTCCTCCATCTTTCATGTCCCTCAAGAGGATAGAATGACTCTGATTTCATCTAGTTTAAGTCACCCAGAGCTATGCTGTTCACTTGCCTGAGGGAAAAGAACAGGCTATTCGGATCTGACCATTCCTTCAAAGCCTGACAGAGAAGAACTGGCCCCTCTCTGCACACTACTAGTGTAAGTCCTGTGGTATTAGGAAAACTCCAGGAGCCTGGCCACTGGTGCTGCAGTGGAACCATAACTGTGGTTCATCTGGTTTACCCTCCTCATATGTAAGGTCTGCCTAAGCTGAGATATCTTTCCTCAAATCCTGGTATTCATCACTAGCCCAGTTAATATATTCCAAATGATTATTATGTAAAAACATCTCAGTTACCAGTGAAACTCAGGATGTGTTGCTGTATCCCCCTGTGAAGCGTAGATTTATTTCTTTTAAAATTAATAACTGATTGGAAGGTGAATTTCCATTCAAAAATCATCATTTTTTAAAATTTGCAGGATAACATTGGAGATGCAAACTAAAAGTTCTCAGCCATTATCTAAACATCTTCTAATCGCACACAGAGACGTAACTAAGTACCCTATCACTCTCAGAGTTGCCAGGACTTACTCTTCTGGACTAATTGAGTCTCCCGAACTCTGTGCTAGAGAGGAGGGATCGTGAATAAAGGGCTTTACAAAGTTCCATAGGGTTCAAAACAATAAGGCAAAAGGGATTCCTGAATACTTTTTGGCCACAGGTCTGGAATTTATGACATAAGAAGAATTTGGTGGTGGGGACTCCCTTAAGGCAAAAAGTAAAAGGACTAGTGTCACAAAGAAGCAGAGTGAGACTCAGTAAGAAAATCAGGTATTAGGGCCAGGAGGCTAGGGAGTATTCATACATTTGAGGAGATGTTAGGGGTAAGTCGATAAAGGAGCTCAAATATAAGCAAGGAATACAGGTGGATCAGTACAAATCATTGGCTGGGAGGAGGAGATGTCTGCTGTAGGGGAAGTGCTATAATAACATTATAGAGGCGTAATTAGGTAAGGAGACGTTTCTGACAGGGTGGAGGAAGAGAACATTTCCTCCTTTCTTATGGGTGCCATTAGGCAAATAATTATGGGGTTCCTAGAAGGAAAGGAGAGGAAATCTCAAAAGGCAAGAGAAAGGAATGTAAAGATGCAAGGGAAGATGCTAATGTTCAGGGAAATGAGAGCAAGGAAAGGAAGACTTCTGTCCATGAATACGCAGAACACAAAAATTGATGCTGTCATGTGTGCATGCGTGTGTGTGTGTGTGTGTGTGTACTCATGTGCATATGTGTGCACAAGTGTGTATGTAGTACATTAATACTTCATGGTGTTATTTTAAAACTTCATCAGCGTAGTCAGTGCCAGGTCAGGAGTTACTATATAAGTCTCTTCCTCTGTGCATGGAAATGCCAGTTTGATCTTTTGACATGTGATAATAACCTCCAAAATATCATGGATGCAAAAGTCTTTTATACATTACTCTTGCTGTCCCCAACCACTTCAGCCAACATCTTGCTTAGACCACCATCCCACTTGGCTGTAGACCTGCATTGTGCCCTGCTGCAACCTGCTTCCTTCCAGTTGCTACTCTTCTTCTCATATAGAGAAGATGCTCCTAGCAATATATGCTGTGCCCTAAGCATGGGCACAGGCTCTTCTGTCGGTTCTCTACAATGACAATGAAGACTAAGCTGCAACATTCATTACAATGCACTGAATGCATAGCAACGACTGAAGGAAATGAACAGAAAACTTAGAATGAGATACTAGATATGGCTCCTCTTAGAATCCACGGGTTCAATCCCCTGGCCTGCCATCGAGTGAGAAGGACCAGCTTACCTTTCTCCAGATGAAGTAGTCTTAAATCTCTCTCTCCCAACTAAAGTCTAAGTCGCAGCCACGAGGAAGCCCCAAGAAAGGAAAACAGTTTCCTCCTCGCTTTCATTTTCTACCCTAGGGTCTGCTTCTTTCCAGGATGATTGACAGTGAGAAACTTTACTCTCCTCATGGGAACCCTCTGTATGCCTCTGAGCCTAACCTTTCTCTGTATTCCTAGAGGTATGTATTTCTAAGTCTGTGTTCAGCCTTCTTTTTGCCTTTCTGCATTCCAATGATTTATACTTATATATTCTCTCAGTTTTAATCAATGTCTTGATGTAGATGACTCTCAATTCTACCCATCCAGCCCAGTTGTTATCTTTGCATTCTTTTACAGTATGGTATAGTGAAAAGACCATAGAACCTGGCATCAAAAATCCTGAGTGGTAGAACTGGAATAAATCAGATGCAGGATTGACCTAGCCATTCCCTCTCCCACCAAGTTGCAAGGGAGAGAAATTACAGAGACATTGATTTCCCTAGGAGCAGCGTATGCCTTCCAAGAGCTTCCACAGCGTCCCCACCCCTAACCTTTCGCAGGAAAGCCCAACTTTGCAGGGGTATAAATAGGCACTCTTGAATCTTCCTGCTATAGCCTGGCCCTCCCTCTTTCCAAAATGGACAAGTTCCTCTTGCTGGAACTCCCCATCCTGCTCTGCTGCTTTAGGGGTGAGTCCCTAGGGTTGACAGCTGGTAAGAATCCTGAATTTAGGAACAGGTGAGAACACTCATGGCAGAGGCCTTCTCATGGAAGTCCTATCGTAACAGAAACATGATGAGCTTCTGCTCTAATGTTATGCCTTCTACCCGGGGTATGTCATATCCCCAGGACCTTAACTAAAGCTCCTCTCCCTTCCTTTATGGGGGGAAAGAGGCAGATTAGAGAGGAATCGAGTGGATTTCACAGAAGCTTTGAGATGGGGTTTGGAAAATGAAGTCTGCAGACAGTGTATCTTTTTTTTTTTTCCAACAGCAGTATCTGGATCATTTTTAAAGAGAAAATTTCCAGGTGAGTAGAAATAGATAAGTGGTATGAGAAGGGGCAGGTTTGAGGAGGAAAAGATGGGTGGGGTGAGGTGAGCACCAGGGGCTTAAAAAAAAAAAAAAATAGAAATAGACCTTGAGTTCCAACACTCAACAACCTCTTCCAGCAGGACAGAGCTGGGATGGGAGCTGATTTTAGATTTGACAAAATAACATTAGCATCAACGGACAAGGTCAGGAGTGAGTGTCAGTGAAGGGCAAGGAAAAGGGAAAGGAGGAAGTGGAATGTTGGCTTTTCACATGTTGCTTGGCCAAATCTAAAGCATGACAACTTCAGGAATTTCAGGTTGTCCCCATTGTCAGATTCCAGGCACCCACAGGTAAGAGTCAATTAAGACTCTTACCTTAACTGTGCCACACAGAGTCAATTAAAAAGAAGGAATGAAGCAAAAAAGCATGTGCACTTATCTTTCTCCTTCTGGTCTGTGCTGCATCCTATAGGAATGGTTAGATGAATCTGAGAAGCCTCGAAGAGGTGAAGAGATTTAGAAGGAGAGAAGAGGCGCAGAGATGCCCAGTAGGTGACTAGTCATTAGGGGGACAGAGGTCCTGGAATGGCTCCAATTTAAGAGTACAGGATGGACCCCGAAGGGCAGATTATAACAACCCAATACAAGAGTAAATCTCAGGCACATTTCAGATGTGTTTTCTTTCTCTTTGCCAGTACAGTCAATGAAATAGCTACTGTGGAATATGAATTTCCTCGTAAGTATGAAGAGGACCTGCTGATCATCTCAGTCTTGATACTGTTTCACTTTTTCTTGTTCCTCCACCTTTCTTTCCCCTCCCATTTTTCAGGCTAACATTCCTGAGACCATAAACCTCAGTCACTCTCGTGGCTTAGCGTATTTCCGCAGAGGAAGATGTTCACGCTTGATGGGTTCTGGCAAAGTCCTCTGGCTCCAGGCAGACTTCTAACCCAAAAAGGGAGAGGGGTTCTTTTGTGGTAGTGCCATTGTTTCTCAATCTCTCTCCCCACTCTCCGGCCAAGTGACAGAAATTGTTCAGTGTAGGATGTGCCACCTCCAGTTCCCGGGAGAAAACTGCTCCAGAGGAAGAGGAATATGCACAGCAGGAACAGAAGAGGCCTGCATGGTTGGAAGGATTTCCAAAAGTAAGTTGTGGGTTGGGGAAAAGAAGAATGGGTAGAGGAAGTAGACAGGGACATATCAGCCACAGGGGAAAGGGGAGACCTTACTTTACTTTTACTATAGGCAGTCTCACACCTGAGATGGCTGATTCCTTCATCCGCATCATATACCATAATGAAAATTAGATGGAAGTGGTCACTAAGGAGGGTGGGGGCCTACAGCTAAGGAATTAGTATTTTGAGAAGCCTGAAGAAAACAGAGGAGAATACATCGAGGTGAGAGAATAGGTGTAATCTATGTCCAATGGGTAACAGTGAGTTGTTGAGAGGAGGGGGCTTTTGGTCCTTGTGCCTCTTGTGCCTATCTGGGTTTCCTTACAGTTGGTTCTAAACTGTGGAAATAGAAGCGCCAGCGTCATCAGCAGACTGTGGCTGAATTGCCCTGGATGGTTAAGACAAGACATCATGATTTCTCTTTTTCCACCCTTTGTGCTAAATTGTCTCTTGGCATTTATAACCCTCACTTAAATCAGTGTTAAGAGTCTCAAGAGAAACACCCAGCTTTGGCATTCCCTGAATTACTGTTCTCCTTACTGCCCTACCCCCAGTAATCATTTTAGACTGCTCCATTGCTGCATTTCTTTTGGGAAGCCCCCAACTTGCAACATCTTCCAGTTCTTTACATTTGAATAACGGAGCTTGGAACTACACAAGATTCTCTCTATATGTTGGTGTGGTCTGGAGAAAAGTTTTTTTGCAGAAGTTTCATGGCCAGGCTTTCTGATCTGTTTTTAATCCCTTCCACAGGGGACGGTAGTCCCTGGTTAACCTTCAAGGACTGCCTGAAGAACTGTGCTGACGTGAAAGGCATAAAGTGGAGTGTCTATTTTGTGAGCTTCAGCTGCTGCAGGAGCCACGACCTGTGCAATGAAGATCTTTAGAAGTTAATGCTTCTTCTGTGACTCCAATTTCTGGGTGAGGTTGTTGCCTCAGCCTCTTCACAATGACTTTCATTAAAAAAATCTCTCTCACACACACACACACACACGCACACTACAGAAGAGGATTGCAAAGACATGGCTCCATCTTCTGCACATGAAAGGAAAGTCCCTCTCCTTTTCTAGTCTCTGTCTCATCCCTTAAAATAAGTAAATAAATAACCTTGAGAGCAAGAACAAGATCAATATATCCTGCAGGTTGCCATAAACCCTTGCGTTTTCACTGTATAGCCCGTTTGTTCAGAAAAGAGGGAAAAGGATAGTTTAATTTCAAAAAAGAATCCCTTCCTCTTTCCTCTGCTGCTTTCCTTCCTTCAGTGGCAGGGTATTTTAATATTTTTCACATTTTTTTCTCTCTGTGTTATCTTGCTTATCCCACTCCAAAGAAAGCACATAACTGTGGTCTGAAGGGACGGGGAGTAGCAACATAAAAAGAAGTGGCTCAAGTCTTCTTGGAGTTTGTTCATGAATGTTAATCCCAGGGTGAGGAGAAGATTGGGACATAGAAAGGAAGCTGCACCAGAACCATGAACAGAGAAAGATTGTCTGCCTTCTAGAATCAGATCTGTTTGGGACTAGTGGTTGGAGAATAAAAGCAGGAGAAGTCTATGAGATTCTAGAGATAGTACCTGCATCCAGCTTCCCTGGCAAACTCACAAGGAGGCATCAACCTCTAGACAGGGAACAACTGCAGGCTACTTCCAGGGGACAGAACCACCAGCAGGAACACAAATATTCCCATGCCTAGAGCATGGCATGGAGGAAGCTGAGAACTGTGCGGTCTGAGGAAGCCATTTGAGTCTGGCCACTAGATATCTCATCAGCCACTTGTGTGAACAGATGCCCCATGACCCCAGATGCCTCTCCCACCCTTACCTCCATCTCACACACACTTGAGCTTTCCACTCTGTATAATTCTAACACCCTGAAGAGAAATGGCAGTTTGACCGAACATGTTCACAAGGGTAGAGGCTGATTTCTAATGAAACTTGTGGAATGAAGCCCAGAAAGAGTGATGAATTATATTATATTATATAAAAATAATAATAAAAATATAAAGAAAGCTACCTTTCTTCTATACCCAAATTGCGTATCCTTCTTTCTCTCTCCTCCAACCTCTTCCTAATTCCTTTAACAAACATATGTTCAAAGCCTACTATGTTCCAGGTACTGCTAGACCCTAGTATGTATACAGCATCATAATCCCTATTCTCATGGAGCTTAAACTAATGGGAAAGACAGGTCTTAAGTAAATAATAATAATAGCTTCTACTTATATGACAATTACTATATGAGAGGCATTGCTATAAACACTTTTTATCTTCTGACTCAGTTACTCTTCACACAAATCTGAAAGTCATACTACTCTCCATGTGGGTCAGTCAGAAACCAAAAACAGCACCAGTTATTTTTTACAGAGGCTTTAAAATTAAGAGTGGTTAACCAGGTATTAAAGGACACAAAAAGCCAACAGGAGATATTGAGTTAACAAAGACAGAAACTGCAAGAAACACCTAAAACCTGTAGGTCTAGGAAAACACAAGGAAAGTGTTGGACGTCCATACTTCTAAGGTCTAAGGTAATTAAGGTAATTAGGCTAATTAGACCTTACAAGTGTGGGGAAAGGAAGTGCAGCTGGAGGATCTCTTGAGCCCAGGAATTCAAGGCTGCAGTGAGCTATGATTGTACAGTGGCACTCCAGCCTGGGTGACGAAGGAGGATCCCATCTCTAAAATTAATTAATTAATTAATTAATTAAAAAGTGTGAGGGAGGGATCCCTTGGAACCGGAACCCAAACATCTCAGGAACAAAGGACCTCCGTGAAAATAAAATGCATACCTTTAGGGAAGGGAACTGTTCAGATGGTGCTGGTATCTCTGTGGGGCACCAGGAAGCTGGTTCTGAAAGTGTGGGGGGAAAACCATGGAACAAAACCAACTGTAGCTCTGAAGCCAACTGCCACTGCCCAGGTAAAAAGCTGTTGAGAGGAAGAGGAAACAGGAAAAGATGCATCCCTTGTCCAGCTTGCCAGTCTCCCTCCAGCACCCCCTATTGGCAGAATTTAACAAGGATCTAGCTTGCAAAAACCACCATCATAAAGCAGAATATAGAAATGTGAACTTAAAACTGAGAGACAATCATTTAATACCAGTTCAATCACGCCTTTGACCTTTCAACATCTGTGCATACCTTTTTATGTGTTTGGACTCCATTAAACAAGAAAGGCAACTTCTTGCTTTTGCCTAAAGAGATGCATTATCCATACTTGTATGGATACAAGTAAAGATACTCTTATTTTTTCTCTAAATAAGGACACAAGAGTCCTAAAGTCATCTCTATCTCAGAGTGATATCCTTGATATTCATTTCCATGCAATATTAAATACTCTTGAAATTCAATCAATTCCACCTGTCAACTACCGTCAATAATTTTATGTAAAATAACAAAGAGATAGAGGAAAGCAAGAAGAAAATATGACAAGAAAGGAAAAAGATATGCCTAGGTACCCAGTGTCTGTTTGTTTTTTTAACTGCTAATGAGGCTGCAAGCAATATTTATAACTTCCTTCTTCTGCTACCAATTCTATATTTTGTTTTCCACTACTAGAACCTCACTGGGTCAGCATTATCTATCTGGTGGGATGATGAAAATCTTCATTCTTGAAAGGTTCACATTTTCAATGGCCTGGATTTGTTTTTTCAGTTTCAGAGCTTTATATTTACTGTAATTGGACAGGAAGAATAAAGTAGCACTTCAGAGAATTTCCTGTATTCCAGACACATTCATCTCTACCTCATTGTGCAACAGCCATGCAATTCCCTTTTAATAATGGGGATCAGTTTTCTCAGCCTGTAGAATAACCTCTATGCTTATATTGTGGCATGGAGGCATCAGGATCCCAAAATGGTCTTAGCGTTCAAATCAGCTAAAGTATTGTTATGTTCCGTAGTGGAAGCATTTCTCCCTTAGTAACTAAGACTTCCAAATGAACAAAAATCAGTTGCAGGAATGGGAGAATTTATTCCCACTTCTACATCTTGATTCTTGGACTTGTGTACTCGGACTATGGGAAAAGCAGAATTGTACATTAGTTGCTGGTTCTGAGCATATCTTGCATTCTAAGATATAATCTAATCTTTTCAGAGTGTTTGCCCCCAACTTATAGTTAAATTGAGATTTCATCTGACCATTCATTCCATTATTCCATCAGGCTGGTTGCTTCTGATGATGGGGTGCATGGTAAGATAAACGATTTCCATGGGCATGAACATATTGCTCTACTTCTTTGTGGTGAAATAAGTTTCTTGGGTGGAAATAATTCTGTGTTTAAAACACGTTGATGGAGAATAAAGCATTCCCTAAGTCCACAGTTAATGATGGTGGCAGAAGCATTATTAACAGGAACATCCATATCCACAAATATCTGTTTATTCCAGTGAGAATAAATTCTAACCATGACAGAAGTCAAGCTGTTAGCAACTAGCCATGAATTAATGTAGACCCGTCCAGACGAAATGGATGAGACACCCTTGATTGTGGTTTAATGCTTAGGGAGTCCACTTCCCAGTTGTTGCCAGAATACCCATTTGTAAATGCAAGTTTCTCCTGTCTCAAATCAGTTCATTATTAAACAGAAAACTAAGAGGCCACAGGTGTGCAATAAAAGAGAGAAGGTAATGGAGCAGAGCTACCTGCTCATGCAATTAACTTGTGCCATCCTGGCTGGCTTGAACCTGTTCTCTTGTTGCCTTCTCCTTAGTGGCAGACTGCTATCTAACACGCCCAATCTATGGCTTCATAACCCAGAAAACCCAGTTCATGATGGGCAGCTCAGGTATCATGATTACTTGATGACCCATTGTTAGAGAAACTGATTAGAGAAGATTAAATTACTTGCCAAAGTCATAGAAATAGAGAATGACAGAGGCAAGAGTCAAACTTAGGCTGCTTGTCTCAAGTCTTTACTCTTAATGATTACGCACAAATAACTAAGAAATAACTATAACAGGTGTAGGAAAAAATACAGGGTGATAAAAACAGAAGACAATGCTAACTGGGGTCTTAGGAAAGCTCTTTCTAAAGTTACGTTCAAGCTTAGAACCGTGGGCTAACCTATTAGGTCAGGGCAAGAGGGAGACGGTCGGGGGCAACCATGTACCAAAAGCACCTTCCTTCCAGGTAAAGGGAACAGGAGGTGCAAACCATCTGAGGAAAGAAGTTCCCTGCATGACCCCTTCCTCTGAGTGTTGTTTCTTTTTTCTCGTGAATTCAATGATTCTCTTTAGCCCTTTAGAAATCATCGTGGCCCATGTGTTTGTTTTGTTTTGTTTTGTTTTGTTTCAAGGTACATCTGCCTTAGGTTTAAGATTCAGCTTTCTATTTTGGAGGATAGTAAACTCTCTCCTCATACACAGACTTACAGACAGGCTGGGTGCAGTGGCTCACGACTGTAATCCCAGCACTTTGGGAGGCCGAGGCAGGCAGATCACCTGAGGTCAGGAGATCGAGACCAGCCTAGCCAGCATGGTGAAATCCCATCTCTACCGAAAATACAAAAATTAGCTGGGCATGTTGGCACGTGCTTGTAGTCCCAGCTACTCAGGAGCCTGAGGCAGGAGAATTGCTTGAACACAGGAGGCGGAGGTTGCAGTGAGCCGAGATCACGCCACTGCACTCCAACCCGGGCAACAGAGCAAAACTCTGTCTCGAAAAAACAAAAAAACAGAAGGCAGGCTATTTGGCCCCCAAGAGATGAAGATATAGCATGATCTCTGTCTCTCTCTTCTAAAGTCAGTCCTAGATAAGCTCTGAAACTGGGTTTCTATAAATCAACAAAACCATGAGAAGTTTGAGAAGTTCTGGCTGGAGGTGTTCAGTCGTCTGAAGCAGTGTGTTTGTGCCAGGGTGGGTCCGCGGGTGGTGGTACTGTTGGCCATAACCTCAGCGTATTAGAGAGCTGTCTAAATTCTGTGCTCACTTATCTTCTACATCTCTGTGGGACTATATCACCTGTTACTTCAACACAGAAATTGGCATGGCCCAGACTATATTTTTGGGGCAAGAGTGCAGGGAATATTGTCAGGTCAGAAGTTATGAGTCTGTTGATTTCAAAGCCCCAGGAGTTGTACATTACAATTTAGTAAAACTGCCTCATTCCAATGCTACTTCC